TTCCATTTATAATCGAAAAATGTAGCCCGTCTCGAAATTTATTCGAATCTTACAAAAACTCAATTTTGATTTCCGGGTGAGTTTGAGCCCTTTCTACTGCAACGGCCCCATATGACAAAGTAGAGCGTAATTTTTAGCTTTATTGCTCGCATTATTTTTCAAAAAGCAAGGTATTCATTTTTTTTTAATTTAAAAAGCTACTATCAATAGCGGGCTATAAGGTTATTTAAAGCACAATGTAGAATTTATTAATAAACTTTCTAATACAACAGAACGAAGATTTTACTATATTTTTTATATATTAGAAAATCATTCAACATAAAAATAATGAAATTGGGTAAGTTCTAAAGTTCAATATAAAGAGATTGGACCTATTGAGAAAATCTTTACCCAGGTATTATTAAATTATCCGGAATATCCAGGTAAATTATTATGTATTTCGGGTAATCATATAGCAACAGTTCTGCCCAGATCTAATTTTTAGTTCAATCTTTTGTAACTAATAAATAGTTTTTAGCTGAAATATTAACTAAGTTCTTAGTTCGTCTTCCTTTTGCAATCTCTTTTTTAGTTTTGTAAATTTCATCATTCAGAATATTATATAATCAAACAAGACTGCTTCTGTAAAAATTAAACATTCGCATATAACCATCTTGGCTTATTTCTTGTGCATATTTAAAAAGATAATGCTGAGTAGGATCAGAATAACCGAATGCAGTAGTAAGATCCTCAATAAGCTGCTATAAAGTTTCAGTATGCTAATTAACTGTATGATTTCCTGTACTAATTACATTGTCTTCTACAAATTTATTGTAGAGTAACATCATTCTTTCACGCTTATCTTAAATTACCATTATTTGCTGTTTTAGAACTACTGGATCTGATAAACCAGAAGTTAAGTTTTGCTTAACAAACTTAACGCCATATTGCTCCAAGGCTTCATCAAAAGCTAAGTAGTGGTTTTTTTAGTAATGTTTATTGAAGCAACATGCTTGAAGAGTTCACGTTGTTGTGGGTTACATGATACTGATTCTAAAAAGGTTATTACTAACAATATATAAATATTTTTACTAGTAGTAGAAAATAGTGGTGCAAATGCAGCCAAACTTTCTAATTGCATATCCGCATTACCCAAACAAATGCCTATACAATGAGCTTTCCAATATCCAGCTAAGCGGTAATATAAAAACCATACTTTTAAAATATTGTTATTTCCTCTAAAAATAATTTCTACATCTAATGATATGTTGTTCTTTTTTAAATAGAGATAAATTGCGATTCCTACAGCTGTGTGAATTAATTCTAATACTCTGCAAGTTGAACGATAGTCTACATTTTGCTCTAGCTTTTCAAGAAATTTGATACTGAGTTTTGTTGCCATACTATAAAGACCATATCCACTAAATGTGGAAATCAAAGCACTGCATATGGCTTTCGAAGTATGCCATTGTCCAAAGATAAATTGACAGGTTAAATTATTATTTTGATATGATTTAGTTCATACAAAAATAGCCGCATCACATGCTAAGTCAACTACATTTTGTTCAAGATCTTCTAAATACATATTAATTGACTTAAATACAGCATCATTGCTATTAGGTGCTGGTCCAGGTTCCAATATAACAATGTTTGGCAGATTTATTCAACATTTTGACTCAATAATAGTAAGTATTTCGTTATTAATTTCTTTAACTCCAAAGTTTTTTTTGTATTTATTTAGTAATTGTTCTATTATTTGATCGAATTTATCATTCCATTCGGATGTAAATACTAATTGACCAAATAGATTTTCTTGAGGGTTTGGATTTTCTTGAGTAAGAGACGATATACTAAACGGAAGTTCAAATTGAAATACCATCCTTAGAGTAGCATATATGAATTGCCGTATGACATCATAAATATTTCTATACTTAAAAACAATATTCTTGAAATCGATATTATCAATTACAACAACATTCCATATATTTGGGCCTTTTACTAACTTTGTTGAAGGATTAGATTTACTTATATGGTCTTTTTCTAGAATCATTTTATGCTTCCAAGTATGAGATGTAATATGTTGTAATATTAACGAATTTTTATTAACATTTTTCTTATAATTTTCCTTAAATTTTATTATATATTTTATATGT